CACACACACACACACACACACACACACACACACACACACACACACACACACGCTCGCGCAACACACACACACAACTCCCCAAATGAAAACAAACCACCACCCCCAACTTAAATAATACATGAAAACGGCACCTCCAAAACAAACGAAAAAGCAAAAAATAAACAGACAAACTAATCGGAATCAAGAAAGAAAAACCCCCAATCAATTCAAACTAAAATAAAACGCAGTGACAAACGAGGGTATAATATGTATTTTTTCAGTATAAAGGTTATTTCAATCTGTCCCTTACAAAAATGGGGTCATATTGATTTATGCTTCCTCTTGTTATTTTCGTTCTTGCTGACCTATTATGGCAACTTAAACAATATTAAGAACATCGACAGCACTAATACAGTAATGGTATACTATTGTCTCTCAACTAAAACCTTCTATCTGAAAAACCGACTGACACCTGAAAACGATCGCTTTAAAAATTGTTGTTCCAAGGCATGACCGTTCATTCCCATAAAATAAGTGCCCTTGCCACCGGGCAGGCTATTATTTCTCATTCAAGATTTTCAAGATTCTTGTTATTTTAATCGATGTCACTCGACAAAAGACGGCGTAGTCCGATCTATGCGGATATGAAAGAGACTTGCAACTCGTCAATAAAATTAGAACTTGCTTCGCCATTCCAATCACCCTCAGCTATTAATGCTCTATATAGGCTCTTAGTTTTGTTGTTGTTGTTGCTTTTGTTTTGTTTAAAGTTTTTGGGTAGGACGTAGAGGAGCAATTGTGGGTGGTTGGCGGATGCTAGGCGGGTGCTCTGGTGTGGTTTGCTTCTTCTTTCCTATCAAACATCTATCGTCCTTATCTCCCCTTCTTCTTTTTTTTATGTTTGTTACTCTCTTGTAACACCACTAATCTTCTGGCGCTCATATGACCTTATGTAGTTGCGAGCGCCGTAATACCTCTACTAAAACTAAAAAGAGGAGCAGTTACTTGGAAGGCAAATCTCCAACCATTTAATGATGTTTTCAGACGTGTGTCGTATGCATTAATTTTATCTGAGTTCTCTGAAAGTGTCATTGAAAACTTGACTACTACAGCAAGACCTGTTTAAAAGTGCGACCTCTATTTTTAAGCTGACTTTTTCCTCAGCCCGTCTGTTTTTTTTCTTCTGGTTGTCATTCTCTCTCTCTGTCTCTCTGTCTCTCTGTCTCTCTGTCTGTCTGTCTGTCTCTCTCTCTCTCTCTCTCTCTCTCTCTCTCTC